GCAGTCATTATTCCATTGGCCGGTAAAGATTCCGATTCTGCGTATGCCCGAACGACATCGAATTGGGAAAATGTCCAGTACGTTCACAATGCTTCTGAAAAGGAAAAGACGAAAAGAACATACGATATTTTTGAACCATGTGTGCGATTTGGGTACACACCTCAAGCAGGAGGTTTGCCCAAGCCCAGCTTGCAAACCGAAAAGTCTCCCGAATTTTCGAGAAGTTCCGAAAGTTCTGTCAGCACGATAGATTCGCAGTCAATGTTTACGACAGCATCTTTCCTTCATGGCAAATGCCCTGGGCCATCTTTGCCAGAAGGCTATGTTGAAGTAGATTTGAGCGCACCTATCCAGTCTCCATCAACTGAAAGAAGCCACAATGAGCCCAAGGTAAACGGAGAGACACCAACCATTCCACCCAGGAAATTTGAATTGATTTATCAAAAAAGGCCTGTTAGTAATTCAGTTATGAATACGTTTGTGTAAAATGCAGTTTTGTCTCTAATATACTTGACGCACTGTGATGTACTTTCATACACAATGTGTGGCATATGAAATGTAAAGAAACAGACATTTTTACTCACTACATTCAAGTTATCTAATAATTCCCATTCTTCATAATTGCCTTTCTGTAGTTAGTAAAATTACTACTGTAGAAAATACGAATGTGATATGTACACACATTAGCAAGTGAAGCACTTCAATAATTAATAAATTTTATTATCTCTAAATCCTGATGCTGCAAGTTACATTTACAAGTTCTTTCAAAACAGCATTGCAGTAAAAGCAATGTGATCGCGGTTAATGTTATCGTTCGGATATTGTTATCGAATTGCCTAAGTCTGTATACGAAAACACATAATACATCGCGTATTGTGATCAAGAGTTCAGTTGCCCCCCCCCGCCCAACCGGTGTAGTTGTTAGCGTCACTGACTGCCGATGGGCCCGGGTGGCATGGATGTTTGTAAATGTATAGTGTCTATGCAGCATGGGGACACTCAAAATATGCGGTGGGCTGAAAGTTCTCTTGAGAGGTTGTTGGTAGGGGAAGATATGCAGGAAACCCTCGGACCCGTTCTCCCGGGGTACACTCCTTCAAAACTGGTGACGGAACTGAGCCAAAGTCGTACTTTCACTTGTATGGGGCATGAGAATCTTGCCGAAAACAGTCTCAATCTTGCCTCTGCCACGATCATTTTCGTGGGCTTAGTCTGATATCAGATAAACGACAATAGTCACAACAGCAGCAACAAAATATCATGGAATATTTTTTTTTTAACTGACGTAAAGTCATCAAGTAAAAAGATATTCGTCAATAAAGGTGAAAACTGATTATAAAAATTGTCGAAAGACGGAGAAATATCACGAGTATTAAAATACAGCAGTAATCAGTATTATAGGGGTACAATATCAGTCCATTAAATGGTACAGTAACGGTAATCATCATCTGTCATAAAGGCACAGCATCCCTCAGATGCTTTCTAAAGATGGTATTGTTACGAAATGTACGGGCGCGGTAAGATGGCCTCCCCGCAAAGCAGTTTTAGGGTTGCCATAAAATGGTAAAATAAGGCAAAATTGCCGTATTCGGCGAGAAATCGCCCAATTGGCGACCTTTGGGGACAAAATTGGCGATATACCATGGACGGATGGAGAACCTTCTGAAACGAATTCTTACCGATTTAGCCCAGAATGTTCTCGAACACAAGCTGAAAGCTATATAAACCCTGCTGGTTCGCAGTCAGTTAGACAGTGTGCCTCGTCGAGAGGGCGAAAGTGTGTGCCTCGCCCAAAAAAGTCTATGTAAAGAAGGAAAGGCTCCATAGACGTAATGTAAACAAACCAGTTTGTCTTCTACGCCGCTAGAAAGAAGAGGGACATTTCGCCAAGGGATTTGGCGATGGAACCTGTTGGCGAGAATTTCCCCCTTTGTGATGTATCTGGCCGAGATTTTCCACCTTCGCCACGTGTATAGGAAATTGAGGAAGACGGGTTAAGATGAATCGTTCTTTGACTTTTTGTGATAATTTAAACTCGAATTTTCGTGCTTTTTTGCTTTACTAGTTGAACTTGTATTATCCATATCGCAGTTTGATGTCTGATTTTATATCTGTCAGTATGTAGGAAACAAAAATGGAGTCACACAGCTTTAAACTCTTGATAAACTTGACTGTCGAACCTGTTCGAACTTCGACATCAGCTTCGAGCTTTGGCGCTTTTTGGCGACAGATAGTTCACGCATGCGCAGTTGTGTCCCTTTTCGTTCGGAGGGAGCCACTCCTGCTGCTGCGAAGCTTTCCTTCTTAACAATACATAATCTTTGCCTCGCATAGACTGCGAGAGAGTCAGTATCCAGTTGGTGTCTCGTCTGGCGAGTCAATCCCTGCGGAGTCGATCGAGTTGACAACCGGCCAGCGAGTGTTGAGTGGGTCGTCGGGTTCACCGAAGGAGTCTCTTAGTGTATCGCGGTTAGTGCATCGTCGAGAGAGCGAGCGTGTTGAGCTCCGGGAATGACTGAACCGAACAGTCGGGAGCTGTGCTCGTGTGTCGTCGAGTGTATCGCGAGTTGCAGATGGAGAGTCTTCGAAGAGCACGTGAAGTTCCGGGAATGACCGATCACAGTCGAGAGCTATGCTCTGGTGCTTTGCCGTGAAGCTGTATCCACTGTGATAGCCTGATAATCTGGAGGCTATGTCGCTGATCGTGTCAGCGTGTTTATAGTAGTTCATACACGATTGTGAAAACGTGTTTTGGAGCTGCCCTGATCAGTATTGGCTAAATAAAGTGTGTTTCGATACTTCATCAACTTCCGTCGTTATTCACTCCAAATCTACGAACTCTGTACGAACGTGAAGGAAGAAAATAACTTAACAAATGGGGTCAGAAGAATAAAAAAAGCGTAACAGTATGAACAGTTCATAAACGAACTTTTGCATTGAATACATTATGAACAGTTGATAAATGAACTTTTGCATTGAATACATTATGAACAGTTTATAAACAAACTATTTAATTTTTTTAGTTTAATGCTATGTTTCTAGGGTACTACTTGATTTTCACGTGGCTGTTACATTTTCGTGATCGCTTTTAACATGGCATAATCTTTGCCAAAGAACTTCCGCCGCATGAGATCGGAAAGATACGACTTCTAGATGATGCCAAGCCGTACCCCTCCTCTTTCGTTTTTTGCCATTTAAGAAATATTTCTGTTTTTTGTTATTTAACAAAGCTCCATAACCTTTTCACATTTTGGGTGTGAGCACATGTTGATGGATCAACAAAATTAAATGTGCGAGTCACAGTAAAATAAATGGCTGTAACCAGTCGTTTCAAGCTCGTCTGTTTTATGCCAACTATCTGAATATATATGAATATCTGAATATATTTTTTTTTTACAACTGTTCCCACTGCAAAATTAAAAATTAACTGTAAATCACGGTAAATTAAAAATTGCGAAATTTTTTTTTTTTATAATGCTTAAATTGAAAAGCAAGCAGAAGTTAAGTATAGCATAACAAGTTTAAAATTCTTTATTTGCTTGCGAAGTTTCACTATTCGAACTGAAGAACTCGTATAAATTTGATTTGAATTGCTTTTTTTTTATCATAGGTAAAACTCGAGAGAAAAATAATTTGAAAAAAATTCTGAAAAATATAAGCTAATGCAATTTTTAACGAATTTTTTTTTTCAAAATACAAAAAGAATAAGATTTAAAATTAAAAACAGTTTTTTTAATATGTGGAACTCTGACAAAAATTTAGTCAAAGAATTAAAGCTGATTATAATATACGACAAAAAAAAAAAAAAAAAAAAAAAAAAAAAAAAAAAAAAAAAGAAACTGAATTTTTTTTTAATCATTCTTGATTTGAAAGGAAACAAAGCGTTTGTTTTTAAGCTCTGTGAAATGTTCAAAATTTTGTAAACAATACATTTTTAGATGCTGATATTTTAATATCATAAACATAAAACAATCAGGTAAAATCGAATGATTTTCGAAAATTCGAAAAAGATCAGAAATGACGTTAAAAATTTGATACAGATTTGATTTTTTAAAGAATTTTTTTTCGCTGCTGCAATGAATAAATTTTTGAAAATTTTAGTTTGTTCAAGAAATGAAGATTTAAGTAAAAAATTATTTAATAAAAAATTTTAAAAGGTTTTAGTGTTTAATACCAAAATGATTTACATTACCCCCAGGGGTCTTTTTTTAACGTTTTGTGTGTTACTTTATTTATAAAATAACATATCATATTCTTCGCACTTAAACAATAAAATTAAATTCCACATAAATATCATAAGATATTTAAAAACAGCATATCTTTAGAATCTCCGATACACAGTCTCGGGCGCTGGAGATAATTTTTTTTTTCCTTTTCAGTACAGTCTTGCCATTGCTCGCTTTGAAATCCTTAAGTTTGTTAATCAAAAATTCGTTAAAGTTTTATAAAATATGAAATGGATAATATAACAAATTCCACATTCGAGCTTCCAGATGCCCATAATCGAGTGGAAGACTATGTTATTCAAAATTTGCTATCTCTAGGTGCCGTTTTTTTCACATTGCGAGAAACATTCATACATTCATGCATATTCCTCATTATTTAATTTTTTTAAATATAATTCACGGCTCTAATGTTTGGTGGCAACAATTTGAAAAATGAAACTCCGTTTTATAGTGGACGAAGCAAAATGCCAAAACGAAATTTATAGCCCTTCTGGGCAAATCCCTATTTCGGCTGATAACTTAAATCTATAAATATGTGTCTAAAGAACCATCATAAATTCTCAAATATATAAAGTTCCTGAATTAAAATTTAGAAGAAGACATAATAAAATATTTATATATCTTTCTTTAATTTTTCCGTCGAAATATGTAAAACCTAGTTCTAAATCATCACAAATTTGAAAGCCATTGAGAAAATCGTTATTTACTGCTGTACAGTTAATCACGTGTGGCTTTTGAGAATTGCCGCTGTAAAACTTCATTTGATTCTTTCAGTATTGCGCTATGAAAGACGCATGTACTCTTCTGGAATGAAAGCAGTTACTTTAAAAAAAGGTAAGCATTATCTTGCTTAAGAAGTTTTTATAATACAGCAGCATTTTTACATTTATAGAATATACTGAATTTATTTTATTGCTGAAGTTCTAAATATGGTGTTAGAATGCCAGCATTTCTGACAAAAATGTTAGCTATTGCTGTTCCGAAAGAGCAAAAATTGTAAGCAGACGATAGAAGATTTGATTTAAAAGTAATACATAAATTTAAATTACGGTAATTTTTTGTAAGTTTCGAGTTTTGATTTGTAGAATAAACAAATATTTTTATAAATTATATAATTACTAAATTAACGCGACGCAAGATAGAATTAAGTGTAGGCATTTGAATATAATATTTAGTTCATTGCATATTTTGAGCGGAATTAGATTACATTTCTACAAACCGACATTTTATTTCGTTCATGGATATTAACGTATGTCAAAGCATATAAGATGTTTTGCTTCAAATTTAAATTCGAAAAATTGAACGAAAGTATTTTTATTAACTTATCTCACTGCAACGGAAAAATTTCTTATTCACATCTATTTTTTTCCTACTTTTGTAAAGGTAGCTCAACAGAGTAAAATTTAAACAAAAAGAATCATCAAAGCTCTAGCATTTTGAGTTATTTTTAAGAGGAAAAATTTAGATGATAGTTAGTTTTTCGTTTGCCTAATTCTTATAATTTTTTTGTATGAAATCGAGATAATTCAAAATATTTTGCTGAGTACTTTATGAATAAATTTGCCTTAAACAACAAGGTTTTTCTTTTTAAATGGTTAAAGAAATTTATGTAATCTAAATTCATTAAATTTGTGCTGCTGTAGTTTTAGAAATATAAATTATGCGAATGCTGAATTACGCAAATAAGGATTTAAAGTTCTAAATTCACAACGTAAGTTTCGGTTTAAATATTTTGATCAATTTAGGAATTTTGTTGGACAGAGGAACTTAATACATTTTGCTGGTGTTTAGTTTACAGAGATATTTTTTCCTCAGATATTTTAAGTTTCTTATGGCATTTCAATGTTCACAATGAAGAAGTTCAAAAATTAGCTGAGACCTTTAAATTGCTTGAGCAAAGTGCTGAAGGCAGTGAGTGAATTTATCGCCTTTATGGCGTTTATTTTCGTAAATTTTAGGTTTTTTACGAATTCGCTACAATTAGATGTTTCAACAAATGCCGAATAAATTCGTTAGTTTTCGAATTTTTCCTGATAAATTTTGGTTATAATTGTCTGATTATTTTTATATTAAAATCTTTTTTTCCGCTACTTTTTGTTAGTTTTCGTAAAAATACCTTGCAAAGTAATCCTTTTTTTAAAAACGAAAATAGAATACTGAACATTCAATTATAAAAACTTTTGACGAAGTTCGAAAAATTATTTTACAAAGATTAAAAAAAAAAAAAAAAAAAAAAAAAAAAAAAAAAAAAAAACAAAAAAAAAAAAAATATTGTATTCCGTTGCCTTAGAAAGCTGGCAAATAATTTCGATGACAAAAGATCTTTTTCTTTAAACGAACTACTTAACGAAGAACTGTATATGCATATGAAATTACTGTCAAATTAAATGGTAACCTTGATCTAAAAAACAGCATTGAATGAGTTTTCTAAATTTGGTTTATAAATGTAAATTTCATTAAAATTTTATTTGTGTTATTTGATTTCTGGCACACATTACATAACCCTTTCTCGAAATATTAACGTATAAAGGCCCACCAGCGGCTGAGCGGTAAAGTCGCTGAACACTGGTAGTTCGGTCCGAGGTTCGAATCCCGCGAACGGGCTGGCTGCATGGGCATTTTCGTGGTTTTCCACATGTGTAACGTGTATACGAGCCAGTTTCCCTTAGAAAGCCCTCCACGAAGGCACCCCTTCCCTTAGACAGATAACCCTAGTGCTTTGCCATAATTAAATACACCAAATACACACACCTATTAACGTATAAATTCTCAAGGGCGAAACTGCAAATCCCAGGCCGCGGAGACTGGCAATGACTCATTGGATAAGTCTGAATACTGGGAGTTCAATTCCACGGGAACAGACCGTCTGCAAGGTTGTTTCGTGGTTTTTCCCATGTGCAACATCTTAATAACCAGTTATCCTTAGAAACACCCTCCACGGAAACATCTCTTCCCTTAGGCAGATAGTCCTCCTGTGCTTTGCCATATTCAAATAACCTAACCTAAGTAGCGGAAGTTTCATAAATTTTCATAACTTAAATTTTCTGTGGTTTTAAGAGAAAATTTCGATTTTAATTATAACTGAAGCTGCTTCTTTTTCAGAATTTCGGATTTGGAGTAACTAAAGTAAACATGAAGTCCTGAAAAGTTGTTGATTAGCTATATAGTTTGCTTGAAAAATATCAGTTACATTTCATAGTTTTAAGTCTTAATTTCAGTACAGCAATTAAATAACGTTAACATTTAGTCCGATTTAAGGGTTGATGTTTTTTAAATCCACGTGCAGTGATTTAATACACCAAGAGTCATAAATTTAGCCTATGGCAAGATTGACGATATATTGCTGCTTCAGAAGAAAATTTCTGTTGGAGTTTCCTTTCTCACTTCTTCAGATATTCCTGTAATCTTTTAAGAAGGAAATATTAAAGGACATTTTTTGTATGAAATCGAGATTATAATTCAAAATATTTTGCTGAGTGCTTTATGAATAAATTTGCCTTAAACAACGTTTTTCTTTCTACTAGACAAGTACTGCTAGACAAAGTTGAAATTTTTGATAAAATCCTAGTATACGGTACGGCCTTGGCGCGTTTCTGAAAACTGTCGCAAACACCAAAATGACACGTTTACTGCTAATAATGTCGCCAAAATTTATAAATAATGCTATAATAATGTCGCCAAAATTTGCCAAATCCCGTGTGCACCGTATACTGGGATTAAACGAAATTTTTATTTTACGGAGTGCGAAAATGCTTAAAACACTCATTTATTATTTTTAAACAAGGAAACTAATCTATTTTTGGATAATTGCTTTGAACAATTTTATTGTGTAACAAAAACTTTGCCTATTTGATTTGGAACACAAAACTTTGAATACACGAAGCTTGATTGAAGATATGTAATGTGCTTCTTCTTTGTTAAAAAGAAAGGAAGTTAAACTTTTTTAAAGTTAAGTACCTTCTTGATTTAAAAGAATTTGATTGGGAATGTTAATTAAAATGTTTTATTACGTTTTAATAATTCCTTATGAACAGTTTTATTTCCCATTTTCGGTTGAAATCTTTTCTGTAAATGTCTTTCAGAGTTAATCTTTGGAATATGGTAACAGGTAGTTTGGCGACATTTTGGTAAGGCGATAAAGGTTACTAGGTAGGACTTTAGCAATAATCTGAGAAGTACACAGTTCGAATCGCAGATTATTTTGTCTCAGAGAAATGAGAGATCATGAGACATGTCATGTGACATTTTCCAGAATATTCCGATCGTGATTTTAGCTAATAAGCACTTAGAAACAATTTCGCTGCTAAAGTGCAGAATCGTCCACTTATTTGTTTGACGCTTTTTACAAGAGTAAAAAGAATTGGATTTTTGTCAATTTTCTTTGACTTTTTAAGTGAAAATAGATCGATGTGTACATAGATAAAGTCAAGAGTGTGCGCAATGCCATTTTTTGTGCAATTCTGGGATGTTTTTTAAGTGAAAATAGGTCGACGTGTACACGGATACCGCGTATGTACAATTCTTAAAAACGCGGCAAGCAGTGGGCGATTCTGCACTTTCTCCCAATTTCGCACGTAATCTTCGTCATGATTAAGCACTTTTATTCCATAAAAGTTATAGCATAAGCGTAATTCGGCTAGCAGATTGTTGAAAAAAATTTTGAGTAAAAAAAAAAAATGCCTTTACTTCGTGAAAACAAAATGGCGTCCAAATAAAGACTAGCAGGTTGTTGTAGCAGGGTTGGTCGCCAAATTTTCGCCAGAAAATTGCCAAGTTGCCATAATCCGAAGATTCACAGTTTTTCAGTTCTATGTTACAGTATTCATCTGAAACTGTGTTTGATATTCGAAATACATGAAATGTAGTTAAAAGTATATTTCTTAAGAAAACTGGATTACAGTGTTCTCTAGTAACTGCAAAATTAAATTCCTAGATTAGATATAAAATATTTTACGTATATATCATAGACAAGTCTGATTAAAATTAGTTCCTAGAAATTCTACAGCATATTTTAAGCTAATGACTACATTCACAATATTGTGACATTTGTGTTTTTTCTGTGTGCTGTTGGATTATTAAGTTGTCAGTACAGGATTCTTAAATCTTGTGCTTTGCTTTCTCAAAATTTTAATTAAACCTTATATATACAGGAGTTCTGAGAATGAATGGGAGTTTATGAAGTATGTGTTATATAAAATATATTGAAATTGCTTTTTTTAAATTCACTCACTTAAAAGGTTATGTGCTTGCGTTTTCTTCTTGCACATACACGAGGCGCCAATGGATGATAAACTCTCGCCAACTAATTTTTGGTAATTATCAAAAGTTCATTTCAAACCATAGTCAAGAGTTTTGTCTTCTAAATTAGCTTTCGTGTTTAAGATATTGAGGTTACATTCTACAGAATTTGATTTTTGCATTTAATCAAACTGCAAGAGAAAAGTAGGGCTATGCAAGCTGTTACATGCGATACAGCTTTAAAAATGGAACAGAATTTAAAAGCATTTTCCTGTCAAAGGAGACATAGTTCCCTATAAACGGTTACGCAGATTTACTACATCTGCAGAGTTGGGGTTCTTAATTCCACGGCAGACTCGGGAACACAAAGTTCCCTTTAGGGCCGAAGTTTAATGAGTAGCAGTGTTTCAGGTCCTTTTTTCGTATCGAAACTAATATCAACTGCAATGTGTGCTTGGACATGATACAACAATGCCCCCTCTCAAATTTAGCAAGTAGAGCGCTAGATTTGGTACTTTTCCGTTTTGCCGGCGCAAACAATGAAGTCGCGAATAATAATTTGCAGCGAGGCTTGAGGCTGAGTCTGTGTAGATGAT